GGGGGGGGGGTAAGAATAAAATGATAGAGAAAGACGGAAAGAGCGACGCCATGAAAATTTAACCGAGAAATGCGAGGCGAGTTTCTAAACGACGTCTAACGAAGGTAAGAACCGTCGAGGGAGGGGTGGAAAAAAGAGGGGGGGCGGGCGTAAGTAGACCGTTAACAGGGCACGACGTCGACGTCGACGTAAGAAGGACATCTGAATGCATGAAACATGGGAAGTAGAGACTGGCCTCCCTGTAGCAAGATATGCTACGAGAAAGGACTCGTGCATATTCATTGAGTGGCCGTCCACCCTTATCTAGTAGGGGTAGGAGGGTTAGACGTCTGGTGTAGGTATATAAGGGGTGGGATGATCCTTGCAGAGCTTCGAGACCAGTTTTACACGTTAAGGGATGTTTCGCAGGACAGACTAAAAATCACCGTCCTGATTTTCAAGCGTCGTCACTATTTTTTGTTTCATCCCCTATAAAATTAACAAAATAAACTACCCTTTGATTATTCCACGTAAAACAAGTGGATGTCGCCAACTTGTATATGTAGGGTTTATTCGTAGCGAGGCAGGCACTGCTATCCCCCTTACGAGCCGAAGACCGATTGAGCATAAAGCAATAGGGGCACTCAACTACAAAGCGGCTTCCCTGTCACACGATAATTTATATGCTAATTTTTCAGGAGCGTGTAATACGCCGAAGGTAAAGGTACAGGGAGCCCGGTTGCTGGGTACCGAATTTCCTGGGGGACGTCGGGCCGAGGCTTTTGAAGACGGATAAAGGGAGAAAAAAAGAAAAAAGGATGTCACGGCTATGGAATGAATAAAGTCTTTGTGAATCGTCGAGCAGCCTACTTGACGTGGCTGGTATGTAGGAAAAAAAAAAAAAAAAAAAAATCCAAAATGCTTGTAATTCCTTCAACTATTTAATAACGCAGGCCTTAAAAACTTTAAGCAGCGTAACTGCTACGACGCCCGGCGTCCCTGTGGTGGTACGGGTCTTGGGGTTCTAAATTCAATTGAAATCAAGTGGATCGTAGAGGCCCCTGGCTAAGCCAGAGGATA